GATGGACTAGTGTGCTAGAATATTTTAAAAATCGATGCATACCATTTGGTATAAAGTTGAAGAAGATCGTTTTTCTATAATACCATTGCATGTATCATGTATGTATGATGATTGACCATCTGGATAACCCCCGCTCCTATCAATTGTAGGAGCGATTCTTATTATTATTACGAATGATGATATTTTTCACCTATGATGTATACCTATATATACCAATAGCCTCACAGCTATTTCCTCCTACCAGCTTTACATAGCAACCAGTGGGTTCCCCTCAAGAGTTACATCTTAAAAGCCCTCTTCCAACGTCCCTCTTTGGTTTCATTCTACATATATGTCATTAATATTTGGTTAGCCCAAATAGTAAATAAATGCCGAATAAATAATTTTCCTACACAATATTTTTTAACCAAACTTTCAGCTGTTGGGTATTGGGTTTGATATTTTAAAAGTTTTTTATCACTAGTAAAATGTATACTTTATATTTTTAACAGACACTTGATCTGTTTGGTTGTCAATTCCGAAAGCTACCCATACAGATCAAATACTTCTTGTCATATTCTATTAAAATAATAATCTGTGAAAGAACACCTGTTAGACCGCTTTATTAAATTGGTTTCTGTCCTGCAGTGAGAAAATGTTTTCGTACACCTCCTACGCTCCTGTTTATCAAAAACACAATTTATTTCGTTCAGTTGTTCTATACGTAGGTATATCCGAATTTATGTTTTGTGAAATTAATAAATATTTAGTTAAGATTTATTAATGCGAAACGCGGACGGTGGGCGCGGCGTAAAAGAAAATGTTAAAAGCGTCCGAAATAATGAGGATACCGTGAATAGAGAAAGTTAGAAATGAGGAGATTTTAGAGAAAGTAGAAGTAAAGAGGGCGTTATGAAAGTCAATAAGAAATAGGCGAAATAAGTTACTAGGACGCCTTCTTAGGCATGAAGGGTTTATTAGGGACATACTGGCATAGAGCAGAAACAAGGGTTAAGAGGAGGGTTAAGTAGACCTGGATTAGATTACTGTTTACAAATATTTAAGCGTAAGGGATGTTCTAGTTTCAGGGAAATGCGAAGATTAGCTTAGGTTAGGATAGGAAAGAGTGGAGGTGCGTGTCCATCCAATCTTAGGAGTGATGATGATAATTTATTAGACGCTTAATGATGGACTACAGTAAAATGGAAGATAATTCTATATATTCTATGTAGAAGTATTTTCTGCAGTTTTATCAGCGAAATTATTTACTTCTTTCAATACGATTTCTTTATTTTAAGGGTTTTATGGACAACTACAATGAAAGTACTTATTTCTCTAGGTAGACGTAAAGTATTTTTTAAAAAAAGGTTTTTCTACAAAATCTGAAAATTAAGATATATTTATAGGAAAAGCTACATCTCTGTAACTTTAGTAAGGCCGATGCTGTCAAAATTCAATTTCAAATTCTAAAAAAATGCCACTTTGTTTCAACTTCTATGCATTTAATGATTACGAAAAATCATGCATCTAGTTCACATTATTATTCTTTTACGATACACAGTAAGTCACCGTGTTTGATATTAACTTTTTAAAACAGTCTCTGATAAAGTATTCAGTTGCAAATGTAACAACCAGCAGCGGGCCGACCGAGTGATGCAGAAGCGCGAACGCGATAAAACGTTTTTGCATCGGAGGACAAAAAGGCATTACGTGTCTATGCATACATGTACGGTGTGTGTGGGTCTAGGTAGACATGTATGTATGTATGTGTGTGCGCGCGAATAAATGTATGCATGAGCGCGACCACTGCATTACGTTATAACTTTCCGGGTTGCTCGCATGGCAGCGCAACGATCGCAGCGGGCGACGCGACCCGTCGCGACGACGGCATATCGAAACTTCATCCTAAGATTACTTTTTAACTCGTACACCGCCCTTTATTGAAATGTGTATGTATATACTAGCTGAGCCCAACCAAATTTGACAGTGGTATCTGTTGTAGGAGGTACATAGCACTTGCATGCATATGCAACCAATTATACATCAAAATGTAGATACTTAAACCCGATCACTGTATTCCACTTGCTTTCTAGCACATCGGATACGTCAAATTATATTTTAATTAGAAGTTTTTATATTAAGTTAGTTTTGAAACGTATCGGAGGTGATAGCTAAAACAACTACATTTACAAAGCAAAAACATGTTTTTTGCGTTTTAATTCGTAAATTCATTAAAAATTATGATTTACGTGAAATGTTTTCTGTTCTTATTAATGCATTAAAACCCATACTGAATGATGAGGCTATCTAATGTACAATGAACCCTTATGAACCAAAATACTAAAGCAATGCAAGGCTTCAAATTAGAATTTATGAACCAAGAATATGTTTTAGATGTACATTGTAGATTGTGAAGTTGTTTCGATGCAAATGTTCATCAGAAAATGAAATGCTGTTTTAAAAAGCATTTTCAGAAATTTCGTTCTAACCAGGTTCCGCTCAACCTGTCTTAATTCACTAGACCAGCCTCGCAAACTTTCATATAAACTTTCACTTCAAATGTCTACTGCTTCGCAACAAAAACTCGGAAGAACATGCGTAGGTGGAAAACGTATTTGCTATAAGAAAAATCATTCATCAAACGCGTTTTTTTTACATACAAAGTTCTGTTATTTTTATATTTCGAATATCTTCACCATAGACTTTTATTCCGAGGTTGTTCTAGTTATAGCAATAACCAAATTTAGCGATGGGTGTGTCTATACCCTATCGCTATCGGGTTAAAAATAATAGAAGTTGTTCCTCATGTATGACGTTGGAGGTTTCGCACAGGATTTTTATCCCTGGCCAACAAAACACACACGTACACAGGCACATCTCTTTACACTATTCGGTATCGTCAGTGCTCTCTGTTAGTGAGATCGAACGTCCAAAATCCATTACGAATGGATTCGGTGGTCCGATTGTTTGGACTGTTCCGGTTAACAAATGGTGATGCGTTTGACTGGAAACTTTGGGAAGTGTGGCGCTGCTGTTCTCTCCTGCGATATCAATCAACGTATTGACCGCCGAACTCGGGAAAAAAAAGAAACCAAGCTCCGGCTTCCTTTCTTTTTACACGCGGAAAAGTCGCCGCCAAGTCTACAGCTGGAAATCTTATCTATACCATCCATTTACTAAGTGCCTCTTAATTAGTTTCACATATTTTTACAGATAGTTTTGCGAATAAATGAAAAACTTATTACTTAGTTGATTAAACTAAAACTGGAATGTTCTTAGATGAGCTAGATCTGAACGAAAATTTATAAAATCGTATTAAGGGCGGCTTAGCTAATTCCGATATTATAATTAAAAGATTTTCGAGGGTTATTTTCATCTATCCCATTAAAAATATTTGTCTGGGAAATGAAAACGAATTATAGGGTTGTTCGGACAGTCATTTCGTTTTTTTTTTGTGGAAATGAAAGACAGTTTTCGTATAATAAACAAATACTTTATTAAATTATATATTGACCGTTCTGGTCCAACACCTTTTGCCATCTTTCTGGTAGTAGCATAATTCCACGCTCATAAAATTTTTGGTCTTTGCTGGCAAAAAACTGATCGAGGAGGTTTTTGACCTCCTCATTTGAGGTGAAGGTTTTACCGTCTAAAAAATTTTGGAGTGACCGGAACAAATAATAATCCGATGGTGCCAGGTCTGGAGAATATGGTGGGTGTAGCATTGTATCCCATTCAAGCTGTAAAAGCTTTTGGCGAGTGACCAAACTTGTGTGAGGTCTCGCGTTGTCTTGGTGAAACACTACACCTTTCCTGTTGATTAGTTCTGACCTTTTCTGTTGAAGTGCATCATTCAGTTTGTCCAGCTGATGACAGTAGACTTCCGAATTAATCGTTGTGTTATCCGGTAAAAGCTCAAAAAAAACGATTCCTTTAAAATCCCACCAAACAGACAGCATCACCTTTTTTTGGTGAATATCGGCTTTGGAAATGGTTTGAGCCGGTTCATCTTTTTTGCTCCATGACCTCTTGCGTTTGACGTTGTTGTATACAACCCATTTTTCGTCCCCAGTGATGATGCGCTTCAAAAACGGATCATTTTCGTGACGTTTGAGAAGCGAATCGCAGACGTCAATGCGGCGACACAGATTTCTCTCTGTGAGAACATGGGGAACCCATACATCGAGCTTCGAGGATAATCCCAGGCCTTTCAAGTGGTCATAAACTGTTGAATTTGATAAATTTAACCTCAATCCGATCTCACGTGTTGTTATTCGCCGGTTCACATCAACTAATGCCTTTATCGCGTCTTTATCAGCTTCAACCGGCCTTCCCGAACGTGGTGCATCTTCGACATCAAAATTGCCGGATCGAAATTTAGCGAACCAGTTCTGGCACTGGCGTACTGTCAACACACCTTCTCCATACACATCAGTCAATTTCTTTCTGGCTTGAACAGCATTTTTACCCTTTCTGTAGTAAAACAGTAAGATATGTCGAAAATGCTGCTTATCGCTCTCCATATTTAAAAGGGCACCAACCAAAAACTACTGCGTAGAATTAATTGGAATTTTTCACACACAAGCCTTGCTATATGAGCTCTCAAAGCATATAAAAATTATACGGCTTAAATGTGAAGTTGGGTGCAAAATAATACAATTAAATCCTCTGTCAGGAAAAAACGAAATGACTTTCCGAACTACCCGATAGGTATTATCTTACACAATAGTATCAAACGAGTATTGACTAGTTTTCTTTGTATAAAAGCGCAGGAAACATTTTACACGTACGAACTAATACGAATACTTTTACACACGTCCGGTGAAAAGATATTGAAATCTACATTTCCGTACAAAAAATTTTGAGAAGTCATTCCCTAAAGTTGAAAGTATAATGAAGCCCTATAAGAATTATTGATAGGAGAAATTAATTTGGAATTTAAGTTTTAATAGATGATGAACAGTTCTACATACTTAATTTGTAAAAAATTGATATTCTAAAGATAAATTCTTTTGTTTCAGTGAGGCCCCTATGGGTACGATTTGTTGGTGACAATCGACCCTTATCAGCTGGCACACCCTATGAATTGAGCTGTGAAGTTGTCGGTGCAAGACCACCCCCGACTATTACATGGTGGAAGGGTAGCGTTCAGATGATAGACACTAGGCAAACGGTACGTAATCAATTCACATACATACTTTTATAATATACAAAATTCTCATTCTAAGGTTGTTCAGAAAATAAATAATAATAATAGTTTTGGTGAAAATGAAAGATTTCCTTTCATAACGTATAAAAATGTTGTTGAATTATGCTTTCTTCATTTTGGTACAGTTTGTTGCCATTATTCTAGCATANCTTTTATAATATACAAAATTCTCATTCTAAGGTTGTTCAGAAAATAAATAATAATAATAGTTTTGGTGAAAATGAAAGATTTCCTTTCATAACGTATAAAAATGTTGTTGAATTATGCTTTCTTCATTTTGGTACAGTTTGTTGCCATTATTCTAGCATAAAACTGATCCAAATCATTTTTGAAATAAAAATTTTGCCATCTTGTATTAACCAGAGCAAGGTGCCAAATCTGGAGAATATAGCAGGTGTGGTAGTACATGTCATTCAAATGCTGTTGGAGAATTACCAACCTTGTATGAAGTCTCGCATTATTTTTGTGGAACACTGTACTCTTTTTATTGATCAATTCTGGCCTTTTGTATTCTAGTGAATCATTAAATTTCTTCAGTTGATTACAGCACACTTCAGAATTGATCTATTTGCACGATTGAATTCGATACCTTTAATTTTTTCACAAACAACAACAGTAAAATATGTATAATGAAAGTGGCTGTAAAAATACAATTCCAACTCCTGTATCGCGAGAAAAAGAAATTACTTATCGAACAACACATCAGTATTTTTTAAGGTTTCTAATGTTCTATAGTCTATACCAAAAAATTATAACTTACCTATCTTGAATGCTTATTTTTAAAAATGTTTTTACTTTAATGGCGAAAGGGATTCATTGAAATTAGTCAAAATTTTAAGATGATGTACTAATGGAAGACCATATGAAACGCTTTTGCTTACATAGTAATTCATAAATAGACATTTCCGTTAAAAATACCGCTTCCGCTCTCATTTTTCTGAAGTTTGGAAAATGAAAAGATATCCCCTGATATTTTAGTTGCGAAAATTGCCAAGCAAAATAAAATTGTAAGACATTTTAGGCTCTTTTGGTTCACAGTTTTATTGTAATATTAGAGTATCGATTAATGCGAAAGAACACTGAATCTCGGGATTATCTTATATTTAATCTAATTTTAATGTTTACTAAATTTAGAAAACGTTGCCATGAGATACACTTCTTCTTTTGTCATGCTAAAAGTTTTTTTTTTTACATCATCGTTTTCTTCTCCGTCTACTTTATTCGTTCTTGCAAAATCTATCCTCGGCAAAAGTGTTTGTTCCTGCCCGCCCTAAGTGCCACCTTCCGAGGGGCTAAGTGCTAAAATATAGTTTAAAACTTCCCTTCCACGTATTTGCAACGGGGCACTGATATTTTAACGGCTGCTCCTCCAAACTATCGCGCAATGCCTTTAAGATAGAGAAGTTGAGGAACTGCTGAAGTTGCACTACGCTTGACTTACAAATTAGCCGCTTATTCCAAAGTTCGACAAGGCTGAATAGTAACGAATAGGGAAAGACATGAACTTGGAGCTAAAAAATTAAGTAGATGCAAAATTTTAGCTTCTTCTATGTTGAAGACAATCTTACGTTGACAGACGACCTTTATGTTAAGCGAGACAGAGAGACCAATGCATAAAAAAATTTTGGGAACAATAAATGTAAGGAATTTATGTAATTTGTCGCTTGCTGTACCTTCAAACGGCATCAGAAGGGCTGCAGTTTCAGTAGCACCTTGTGCTAATGTTTTAAGCAATAGTGAAGACCGTATTGCAATAATGTACAGTCTATTTCAATTTGTTAGAATTGTGACCTTGAAGAAATCTGCGCGAAGATAGAAAGAATACACACTAGGCGTGAGTAAGACAAAAATAGTTGAAACGAGCTTGAACGAGCAGAGCTCTCGATGGGCGGTCTTAAAACATCGGCTAGAACTGTACAGTACTAGACGAAAATGTTTAGCAATTTCTTAAAACAAAAATGTATATAAATTAACAATAGAAAACAAAGCAAAAGTTTTATAGGTGTGTAGAACGTTAAGTTAATTCACTTGTTA